CAGGTTAAAGGCTCAGTCCCAGGAGACTTTCTGCCCCCACGGCAAATGCCAGTCACAAGCCCAGGTGATCTCACCTGAGCTTCTGACCAACTGGCTGTAGGTCAGAGGTTCTAATGGTCTCTGCTTGTGTTTGATTAGTTTGCCAGAGTGGAACACAGAACTCAGGGAAATATTTATGTTTACCAGTTTAATGGAAGGATATGATACCGGGAACAGATGAATAGCTAGATGAAAAGATACATAGGGCAAGGTCCAGGAGGGTCCCAAAGCACAGGAACATCTGTCCCCATGGAGTTGCAGTGTGTTAGCTTCCTGGCAGCAATGTATTTGCTAGTCTGGAAGCTCCTTGTACGCTATACTATTGGAGTTTCATGGAGGCTTTATCACATAGACATGATCAATCATTATTTTTAGCCCCTGTCTCCCTCTATGGAGGATGGAAGGTGAAGCTGAGAATCCAAGATCCTCATTATGGCTTGTTCTTTCTGTGACCAGCCCCCATCCAGGTGCCCATGCAAAGTCTTTATAAAACAAAAGATGCTGCTATTTTTCTTATCACTTAGGGGTTGCTCAATGATTTCAGGAGCCCTATGCCAGGGATGAGGATCAAAGACCAAATATTAGAACAAGAGATGCCTGCAGTGCTCTTATTTCTTAGAAAACTACAAGGGTTTTGCCGAGACCGGTTTGGCTCAGTGGATAGAGCGTCGGCTTGGGGGCTGAAGGGACCCGGGTTCAATTCCGGTCAAGGGCATGTACCTTGGTTGCGGGCATATCCCCAGTAGGGGGTGTGCAAGAGGCAGCTGATCGATGACTCTCTCATCGATGTTTCTAGCTCTCTGTCTCTCTCCCTTCCTCTCTGTACAAAATCAAGAAAACTACAAGGGTTTTAAGAGCTCTATGCCAGGAACTGGGAGCAGACCAATATGTGTTTTCTGTTATCTCATTGGAACAGAGATAGAAGAAAGGTTCTCTCTGCTAGGTAACCTGTTCTTCCGTTGGGCTGGCAGTGCGCAGCTCGACCTGCCCGTGAGAGCATCAGCTCTCAGTACCTGTTCATAGAGCCTCCCTTACTGTATGTCTGCAGACTATTCGCATCCCCTTGGAACAGATAGCACAGCTAGCGTTCCAATGGGCAAATCTGTTTCTCGCTTGTAATTATTTTTCTTGGCTCTGAGTTGGCCTCCAAAAATAAGAAGAGTTCCTGAAGAAAATGTCACCAACAGAGAAGTGGCTTCTGTCACAAGCATATAAGCTCACCTGCTCCTGGTTCATATTAGTGTTTCGTAGGCTGTATTTATGGGGCTGTGTGTGTATAATATTGAGGTGCTCAGGCAGAAGATTTGAGTCACTGAGATCAAATGTTGTAGTGGCCAACACTGTATCAAATAGCCACTTCAGAATTTAGAGACACTATTCTAGAATATGGGTATTATTTTATGTCCCATTTAAATAAAATATCAACAGCAGCAAAACAATAAGAGTTCATTTTAATGAGTGCACTATGCTAAGTAACCACTTTACAGGTGTATTTCAAGTCATCTTCACAACAACCTAAGAGACTGATAAGTTTATTCCCCACTTTATAATTAAGGGATGAGTCTCAAAGTTGGAGGAGCTTAATCATACAAATACCAGCAATCTTGGTCTGATATCCAAGTCCACTTTCCTAACCTTGTCATTTCTATAACCTTGTCTAGCCTCACTGTTCTAATTCCATACTGACCACATTCCAATTGTCATCTCACCTGAAATAGGTTTTTTGAAATGGTGAACACCATTACCGAAGAGAAGGGGAGAGGTGTGGAGGAAGGAGACTGTGAAGGTGACTCCCTGGAGGTAATGCCTGAGGTTTCCATGTTAATTTTACAAAGTTTCTCCATGACTGACTTTAAAAAGTCAACTATTTTAAGTTTTACTGAGGAAGGGAGAGTGTTGTGGGGGAGGGGCATATGGCTTCAATCCTTTGCATTCCATCGAAAAATTTCAGATCTGTGAGGTAGAATGGCTTCTGCAGTATTCCCAGCGATCTGGATAGTCTATAAATTCACACATACTTGTCTAAGCATTTTGGCTTGGTTTGCCATCATGTCACAACTCTTGAGGTTGCTGGCATTCTTTTCGTGGGTGTTCCATCAGCATAACGTTAGTGAAAGGTCCCTGTGATGTTCTGGGCTGTGAAGACCATGAGCTCTGCCTGGGCCCTCCTGCTCACTCAGTGCCCTTCATGGCCAGAGCATCTTCACCATATGAGTTAGTAAACAGCCTTAATTTATATTTTTTTACAATTTATGACAATTTCATTATACCTTTTATTACATTTCTTAGATGTTTTCAACCTTCTTAATTAAAATTTTTTTTTCAGTATTCTAAATATTTTGTTAAAATGAATTAATTTCATTACTGTAAACTGAACTCGAACTTCAGCCTGTAAATAACATACCAAAAATAATTCCTCCACTTCCCATTCCTTACACTGTAAACAGGAAAGATGACTTTGCTGATTAAGATTTTTATGTTGAATAATTGTTATCTGATTTTTACTTCAATTTGAGATAGATTTCAAATTATTTCAATATAATTCCTGAAGACTTTTAGGTCCCTGGGCCCAAAACACAATTAAAATGTTGAAAGTCAGACATTTTTTGATGTTTTTAACTTAGATTGGTGTCAGCATTCAGCATATATTAGCTATTTATATGGTCCGGTAAGCCACAAATTTGAAACTAATCCTTCGAATTTTTGATATTTGAAAACTCTTCATTCAAAACCCAAGTTAATATTGTATTTGCTTTTACTTCTGATTTGAACATAAGCTTTCTTTGAAGCAGTCCCATTCTGGGAGAGATTTAGCCTCCTTGGGTCATGGTCAGAGCCTCCTCTGAGTGTCTCTGGCTCTCGTGAGATCCCCATGCTGGGGACAGGAGCCCTGAGTTCTGGTTTTAACTTTGCCAACAGCCAGTTCTATTACTTTGGACAAAATTTATACTCCCACTGGGCTAAGATGATCTCATTCCTTAAATGAGAGTTGAACAAGAAGATCAAAAATAGCCTTTCTTAGCTCAAGTATTTTACAATTTTCAAGATTAGTACAAACTGTACAAGGTTTTTCAAATATAGCTCAATATCACTTGGGGAGGACTTTTCTATTTTTAAACAGAAAGAGAAACAACTTCTTTTGATTCCAAGCCGTTTTTTGACTCAAGGCTGTATTTTGACATGGAAGGGTGATGAACCCATATTGTAAATAATTTATTGTATTGGTAAGTTTATATTGAAATCACATGGTACCGGGTATCCAAGCAGAAGTACAGTCAGAAGGCTTTAAAAAGTTTGAAGCTGGGGGTGGGTATGACAAAACCAGAGTTGTTTAAACAGTATCTCAAACTGAGTGGAGGGGGCTATGTATTGAAAAGGGCAGAATAAATGCTGGTAAATTGGTTTGAAGGTTGTTTAATCAATGTTAAATCAATGAAAGAATGAATACCATAATCCGGCCATTATCAACCCATTCTCTTTTCATCTCCTTTTCTTATTTCCTTGGGGGGGCGGAGGGGAATGACTGAGGTACTTCTGGTGCCCAATACAAAATATGTTGTGTCTCCCTCTTCACTCCTCTCCCAAACTCATAGATATATTCTCCTTCCACCTGTCCCTCCTCTCTCTCTCCCCCCCTCCTTTCTCCTCTCTTTTTCCCCCACCATCCTTGTTTTTCTGCATTTTTACTTCGCTGTTTTATCAAAATGAGCTTATGATTGAAACAAGCCTGAGACATAGCAGCTGGCCCTGTGCACCTGTTTATACATAGTGTGCATAAAGGGAAACGCGACACTTTTTGGGATGGAGTGGGGACAAGCAAGATAAAAGGAAGGTTTTTCCTTTGACTCAAACATCTGCAGGATGATGAAATACCTTACCATCTCCTTTCCTGATGATTTGCCTTGCAAACAGTGAATTTATAGTTTACAATCCATTTAAATCAATTTGGAATCATCAAGTTTCTTCAGCATCCTTTTTCTATTTTTGTTCATATCTAAAGCTCACCCAGTTACCACTCTGTCTGATAAAATATGTCCCTTAGAGTGTTGTATGATATGAGTGTCAATTTGTTATTCATTCATCCTGTTGGCAGAAGGAAAGTTTTTCCTCTACCAACTTAGGTTTACTGATGGGGACCTGCAAATTAACTGACAAAAGACACATTAACAGGAGAAAAGATAAAGTTTATTCGTGTATATGGGAACATACAAAGAAGTGGCTCCTGAGCAGCTAGAGTTAAATATTTATTTATTTTACCAAGAAAAATCCTTAATAGGACTTCAAGGGGAAGAAAGCACATGGCGGGAAACCAAGTAGAAGCAAGTGGAAGGTACAGAAACTTTTGGAAAGGTTTTGCCTTTGTCATTTCTCATCCAGGGAGGAGTGGTCCTAAACCTCCTGGAGAGAGGTTATGGCAGCTGTATTTTCAAGAGGCTTTGCTTAAGTCAGCACAAGACGTTTTGATAAGGGTCTTTCTGCATCTATTTAGATGCTTTCATTCAGCTTAAAATCATTGTCATACCACATTTGTGAGTCCAAGTGTATCTCATCAATTCACTCAAATATTTATTGGATACCTACCATGTGGTAGGCACTGTTCTAGGGGCAGAGGAAAATCCCTCACTGAGCTTACATTCTAGTGAACAATAAACAACACAAATAGGTAAAACTTGTCATATGTTTGGAGAAAAAAACAAGGAAGGAATTAGGCAGTGACAGTGTAATGGGGTGTGCAGGTTTAAAATATATATTTTATTGATATTTTACAGAGAGGAAGAGAGAGGGATAGAGAGTTGGAAACATCGATGAGAGAGAATCATCGATCAGCTGCCTCTTGCACACCCCCTACTGGAGATGTGCCCGCAACCTAGGTACATGCCCTTGACCAGAATTGAACCCGGGACCTTTCAGTCCGCAGGCTGATGCTCTATCCACTGAGCCAAACTGGTTTCGGGTGGGGTGTGCAGGTTTAGACAAGGCAGCCAGGGAAGGCTCCCTGGCAAGGTGATAGTTGAGTAAAGATCTGAGGGAGGAGAGATCAATCAAACCTGATATGTGTACCTGCAGCATTTTTAGCATTCTATTGATATTATTGATAGTTATTTCTGTTTTTCATATCTCTTTATTAAGAAGGCGATACTGAAAAATAACAAAGATACTATTTGGGTCTTTGAGGTGACCACTTTGTTAATGTGATTAAGCACAGAGGGAAGTGCATGGCTTTTTTCGAAGGTTGCTTTACTGTCTGTTGGCCCCTTGGCCATGCAAGGACTACGTGAATCACCACTTTGCCATTTGCCTTCTTAGGCTGACTCTCTTTTCAGCTCCAGTTTACATTGGTCTGGGCGGGTAACAATAGAGGGATGATTCCAAAAGTATTCCCATCATTGCTTCAAAATGCAGCCGTTTCCCTTAGCAACAACCCGATTTGCTAGCCTATTGCCATAGAAATAAAATGCAAAATACATAAGCAGTGTAATTCTACCTCTTTTTTTTTTTTTTTTAACACTCCTTTCTCCACTGCTCCTCTTTTTCTCCATTTTTGTCAGTTAACATACCCTGACTTTTCTTGGGTTTTGTCCCAGCCCTGTTCTACTTTTTCTGACCACCGTGTAGATCACATGTGTCAAACACAAGGCCCGCGGGCCAAATCCGTCCCGCCAGGCCTTGCAATGTGGCCCGCACCGCGCTGTCATCACTGCACTCCGCTGTGTTCCCATCACAATGACAGTTTATGACTATTCAGTAAACCATTCGGCCCTCGATTTAGGCTGGATTTTAGATTTTGGCCCCTTCTCTGATTGAGTTCGACACCCCTAGTGTAGATCATTCTCTGTCCTTTTTGGGCCAGGCAAACTAGTAAGACCTCAAATTTTTCTTCTTACCCAAAGCCTTTCAGTAGCTTTATTCTCCTGGTAGAGTGTGAAATGCTTTAATAGCACCAGAAGCTGAAAAACAAAAGGAAGATTAGTTTGATATGATAGGTATTGATACTAATCATGCTAATCTCTAGAGTCAGTGAAAAACAGGATTTAGTGGGTAAAAGAATCCAAGTGGGCTTTTTGAAAAATCTCTTACAGATTTAAATACATAGTCCCCATTGTATTTGTACCAGCTGTGAAAACATGAGCACGCAATCTGATTTATATTGCGAATGTCTATCTTTTGGTTCTTAAAGCTGCTTTTTCTGAATTTCATCTTATTGTTTCCCTTGTATAGCCATCTGCTAAAATAAGGAAAAATGCTCTTGGAAAAAAGTTGATGTTCGGAATGTAGACTGCAACTAATGTTTCAATATTCTCTCTCCACTTTTTCTTTTGTAGTATGACTACGAATATGACGAAAATGGTGACAGAGTCGTTTTAGGAAAAGGCACTTATGGAATAGTCTACGCAGGTCGAGACCTGAGCAACCAAGTCAGGATCGCCATTAAGGAAATCCCAGAGAGAGATAGCAGGTATAGTAATTGTGGTTAATAAAGGGCTGTTTCCTAAGGTATTTGGAGTTGTGTATAGAGCCTTTTAGAGAATGTTTTGGTGAAACTGTCTGAGAACTCTGTGCTTTTAATGAGCTCCCTGTGAGGGTGAGCTGCTGCATCATTCAGTGATTCAGTTACAAGACGGGTGGGAAAGGACAGCATCTCTGAGGTAACCGGGACAGGACTCTGAAAGAGTGGGGAAAAGAATGGCCCTGTGTGTGTTGGGCCCGGGTTATGTCAGGGAGCGGTGGTTTGTAATGGGGGTACGTGGGGAACCAGCACTTCCTGAAGCTGTTCTAAGCAGAGGTTCCAGTATCCAGTGCAGCGGTTAAAGGAGGTTGGAAGTCGTCACTCCATCTTAACAACAAATAGAAAGCCAAACACACGGAGAAATAGGCAGCTCTTCTTAAGGGTTCATTGTCAGTATTAATGTCAAATTTGCTGGCTTATAAGTGTAAGAAATCAGGGTTTTTTTTAAATGACTAACTCAAACCATTCTGTGTGTTGAGTCATCAGACAAGTAAGATCACAGGACAAGCCGCTGCCCCCCAGATTGGAGAGACAGTCGTAGAGGAGACCCACAGTGTTGTGAGTTTTACCTTCAGGAGCACCACTCAGTCCTCACAGTGCATGCAGAAGAAAATCCCCTCATGCTCCTAAGAAGGGTTGTGGGGGAAGGAATCATTTTGAAACACACCAGAGTATTCTGTTCTTAGCAAGGCCTGCCCTCAGGAGAAAGCATTTTTTACCAGGGCCTCACCTATTGGGGTGTTATCAGAGCCTAACCAACCTGGGAGAAGGGAAATGCCCAACTCCAGCCCTTTCTAGCCATCCTGGCCCACCTAAAGGGTTTAGGGTGGACTGAGAAGACTGGTGCAGCTCACAGCCCAGTGGCACAGGCTCATTAAAAGACTAGAACACTTCCTTTCTGAGAGTTCTTTTATCTGTTATACCATGCCTGGCTTTCAACAAAACTTGCAAAGCATACGAAGGCACAGTTTGGAGAGACAGAGGCAGGATCAGAACCGTCTCAGATATGGCCATGATGTTGGAATAATCAGACCAGGAATGTAAAAACAGTTAGGATGAATATGCTAAGAGCTCTCCTGGATAAAGTAGGCAGCATGTAAGAACAGGTGGCAATGCCAGCAGAGAGGTGCAAATCCTAAGAAAGAGCCAAATAGACATACTAGCAATAAATCAGTCACAGAAATGAAGAACGCATTTGATGGGGTGGTTGCCTAGCTCAATCTCTATGCTTGAGGCTATGTCAGTAGAATATTCCAAAACTGAAAAGCTAGGACTGAAAAAGAGAAGACAGAATACCCAAGACTGGGGGACAACTACAAGAGTTGTAACATACGCCTGCCTAGTGGGAATAACAGAAGGAAAAGAGAGAAAAGAACAGGAGAAGTTTTTGAAGGAATGGCATGAACCACACATAGTGGGGACTTTTTTGGAAACAAGAAAGTTGTTCAGGGGAGAAACAGCTCTGGTAATAGGATTTTCTGTTGCTCCTGGCTGTAGTGTTAACATTGGCTTTTCCAACCACTAATTATCTCTTCTCCCGATCTCATGATTTCTGCTGCCCTGGTGGCTTTTGTTGTGTCTTCTCTCCATAAGATACTGCTCCTACAAAAACTGTATACATTTTTCAGGTGTTATACATTGATTGAGTCAGTGTTACTAAAGTCCTTATTTGGCCAGACTTGAATGCCGGGCTGCATCATGGGCTTTCTTGAGTCCACTTTTCTGTGACCATGGGGGGTAGGGTCACATGTCCAGTTTTCTTTAGAAAGGACACTCTCCTAAGTTTCCTGGGTCATCTTTCTTCCCAACCTCTTCACTTGCAAGTCTAAAAGGCACTTCCAGGTTAAGATGGTCAAAACTGAGCCATGGGTTTTTACCAAACCCAAATGTACTCTACTTTAAGTATTCTATGTCTCAGTTAAGATTATCCCATCTACACCTAGGATTCGTTTGGATTCCTCTCTCTCACTTTGCATCAATTCCATTAGCAAGTTGTACTATTGTCTCAACCTCTGCAGTCTATTCTGAATTTTTCTACTCCCGTCACAACTCTAAGCCTCCAAGTCTCTCATTCAGACTCCCTACTGCAAGTATAATACCTTGTAACTAGGCTCTGCTTTCATTGTTTCCTCCACCCCAACTCCATCCCTCCTTAGAGAAGCCAGAGAGATCTTTCTGAAGTTGAAATCACATCTTGTCACTACCACTTAAAAACCTTCAATTGTGCACTAGCTGGTTTGGCCAAGTGGATAGAGCATCTGCCTACAGACTGAAAGGTCCTGGGTTTAATTTCGGTCAAGGCATATGCCCAGGTTGCGGGCTCGATCCCCAGTAGGGGGCATGCAGAAGGCAGCTGATCAGTGATTCTCTCTCATCATTGATATTTCTGTCTCTCTCTCCCTCTCCCTTTCTCTTGAAACCACTATTTTTAAAAAAGAAAAAGAAATCATTTCCAAACTCTTTAAAAAATAAGCACCTTTCAGTTGTAACCATCATAAAACCAGAACCCTCAGCATAGGCATCTGCCTCCCTCTGTGGCCTCACCTGCTCCACTGGAGCCACACTGACTTCTCCCTACCCATCAAGCACACCAAGGTTCATTCCCAAAAACTCAGCAGGATTGCCTCATTTTATCATTTAGTTCTCAATTCAAATTCTAAGCCTTCTCTAACTACCCCAGGCTGAAAAAGACACCTGAAACCTGTGTTCCAGCTCCCACATCTCTTCCTGCTTCTCCATCTTTAGGGTGTGACTTGCAAAGGTGACCTCTCTGCCTCCAGCCTCCAGATCCACATTCCAGGCAGGAAGAAGAAAAAGGAAGATAAACTTTTCCAGATGTATTCAGCATACTATTACCAAAACTAACCACCTTGTCCTATAAGAGAGGCTTAGGAACTCAATAGCTTTTTGGCTGACCAAACAAAATAATAGAAAGAGGAAGAACAGATGCTCGCTAGGCACACAGCTGTTGCTGTCTGCCACGTGTGGTTTCATGTTTTCTATATTGTTGTAGTTTCCTCTTTGAGATATATTTATGAATTCTTAAAATGTTGTAGAACTTACGGTATTCATTAAGTACCTAGAATATTATGTGTCAATTTGTCTAATTTTTGTGTTAAATATTCCTAATGGTTCCCAAATAATATATGCATAGAATATATTTTGAAATAATAAGGGGTTGTCACTATCAAATTGCTACAGCAAACTCACTGATCTTTAGCAACTTTCCCTCCCCTTCAACCCCACAGATGAATATACTAGTAAGTAGGTACTTGGAAGGAAGCCACTTTTAAAATCATATTTGTAACGTAAGTTTATTCAACTGCCACTGTGCACATAGAGCGCACCAACAGCAGCAAGGCCGTGTTTTGTAACAGTGCATTGGGCGTAATGTGGGATGTTCAAAACATGCATGATAGGCCCTTCTCCCTAGTACCTGGTACAGGGCATCTGCTTGATATCAATAAAAGAAGATTACAGCCCTAACCAGTTTGGCTCAGTGGATAGATCATCAGCCTGCAGACTGAAGGGTCCCAGGTTCGATTCCGGTCAAGGGCATGTACCTTGGTTTGGGGCATATCCCCAATTGGGGGCGTGCAGGAGGCAGCTGATCAGTATTTATCTCTCATCTATGTGTCTAACTCTCTATACCTCTCCTCTCCCTTCCTCTCTGTAAAAAAAAAAAAAAAAAAAAAAAAAAAAAAATCAATAAAATATATATTTTTTAAAAAGAAGATTACAATAAAGACTATCATATTATTGTGAGATGCAACACACAAGGGTGTTTCCATCTATGTGCCCTGGAGAGGTTTTGATGTTGCATTTTAAAATATTGCAGTTAGGATAATTACTGAAGTAGTAGGATGGGTGTGAATAATGCATGATCCAGCACACACTAAACATTGCCATCTGCAATGAAGGATCATAGCAACAAAGAATATTCTGTGTGTTTCCTTCACACTCTATAAACACTTTGTTAGAGGATCAGAGTGTAGTAAGAGTGAGATAGAGGAAGTACACTATTATAGTCACAGCTAGTTTTAGTCTCAGGTTGGCTTCTTCCTCTAACAGTCTAGACACCCCTGAGCTATTTATTTAGATCAGTTTTTCTCTCCCCAGCTGTATAGTAGAGCTAATTGGGGAACTTGTAAAAATACTGATACGCGGGTCCTACCCCAAAAATTCTGGGTTGGGCCTATGATATTTTTTAAGGTCTTCCAAGGGATACAAATGTCCATCCAATGTGGGAACCACTGGTTCAGATGGCTGTAGTGGAATTATAATAGACTCAGAGTAGGTGCTCTGGAGAAAATATCCTATATAATAAAAGGCTAATGTGCAAATAGACCCAACAGCGGAACGACTGGTCGCTATGATGCACACTGACCATCAAGGGGCAGACACTCAACGCAGGAGCTGCCCTCTGGTGGTCAGTGTGCTCCAACATGGGGAGTGCTGCTCAGCCAGAAGCTGGGCTCAAAGCTGGCAAGTGCAGCAGTGGGGATGGAAGCCTTTCCTGTCTCCGTGGCAGTGCTAAGGCTATAAGCCATCAGTCAGACATCCCTTGAGGGCTCCTGGACTGCAAGAGGGTGCAGGCCAGGCTGAGTGATCCTCCCACCCTGAGTTCACAAATTTTGTGCACCGGGCCTTTAATAGATTAATAACTTTTCAAAGCAGAATATATGTAAGCATCTCTGATCTTTATCATTTCTTCTTTCCATTGTTCCAGCTAACTGAAAAGAAATAGGATTTCCTTATAAGTCCCATAGATAAGCATAGCTTACTGACCTAAACAAATTATAATTTCTACTCATACAGCACCTGAAGGCACTTATACTTTCACTTACACTTAGTAAGAATTGCTAGGTGTTAATAGTCATTTTCACATTGGAGAAAAGCTCTTATTCCTAACTAGGATGAATCCTGATTATTGTAATTTTTGAGCTATCCTTTGGTTACCTAATGAGGCGGTAAGAGGGTGGCATATGTTTGTTTCTCCAGGAACTTACATTTAAACAATCATAATTGATTTTCTTTCTTTCTTTTTTCAAATATATTTTATTGATTTTTTACAGAGAGGAAGAGAGAGGGATAGAGAGTTAGAAACATCGTTGAGAGAGAATCATTGATCAGCTGCCTCCTGCACGCCCCTCACTGGGGATGTGCTGGCAACCAAGGTACATGCCCCTGACCAGAATCGAACCTGGGACCTTTTAGTCCTCAGGCCGATGCTCTATCCACTGAGCCACATCAGGTTTTGGCTCATAATTGATTTTCAATAGAGGGTCAGGAGATGGAAAACCTTTGGTTCATCACAAACTGAGTTAGTCAATTGATTAAGGTCATATAGTCATCTTGATAAACCTGTACAATAAGATCAATATTTGCCACTAATTTATTTCATGCATATCAAGAGCAATCTTATTAACTAGTGTTATTAAAGTGATTTACATCCCATGGAAAAAGTGACTTGCAAATGTCTTCATAGTTTAGAGTCATTACCTAAGCATCTTATTGGTAACATTTTTTACTGGTATTTCTTGTGTTAGCTCACTCAAGCAATTATTTAAATAGTGGTGTTCTTCACTGATATTCTGTTAAAGGGCTCAAGTTAATAGCTGCCTTTATAGTTCCTAGAGCTATTCTAAAGGAAGGTAAAAGAATTAAAAGTCAATTGTTTGTTGTTGGCAATTTTCTGAGTATTAGTTCACAACTTATAAAGTTTGTTTAAATTAAACAAGTTTGGATTTTGTAATCTAATATTGCTTTAGTTTATCCTGAAAAGCTTCATGAATATAGTATTATTCAGTACTAAACATTTCTAATATTTGTTATTGACATACAAAAAAATCCATCCTGCCTATATGGATTTACCATAGTAAGATCTGAGCTCTGCTTGCATGTAAGACTGAAGCAAGTTATGAGACATCACATTTGTACTTAATATTGCTTAGTAGTTAGTGCCTTTCACACCTGTAGCCTTCATTGTAGAGCAGGGGGGAAAATTCAGGAATAGTTTTGATAGTGTTTATCATTGCTGACATCATGCCATAGTTAGTTGTATAATAATTATATTAGAGCTACAGTGGGCTCAAGACTAAGAGTTTGCAAGTTTTATAGTTCCTCAAGTAGTCATCAAAAGAGTTGTTCTGTCTGTTCCAGAAATATGAAATACTTTCATTTTATAATTTGATAAAACAACATATACCAAGTACATGATGTTGAAGTCTGGTTTAAAGCTGTATAGTGTATAGTTTTGGTTGGGATTTAATTTTTTTTAAGCCTGATATAATAGAACTGGTGAACACAGCAATGTGAGGATTTCAAAGCAAGGGACTCAAGGAAACTTGGCATGTAAATGGAATAATAAAGTTACGTTATTATGAGACCAGTGAGGTCATACTAATGTTATGAGACAGCAAGCTATGTGGATTATTTCTATTTTCCTGGTGGGTTCAAATCTTAATTCTGTCACTAGTTTTGCAATCTGGGTCAGATTAGTCATCTTCTTTATGAATCAGTTTCCTCATCTGTAAAAAGGTCATCTTAATAGCCTTAATGGGGTGGTTGTGAGAAATGAGTTAATATATACAAAAGGCTTAGAAAAGTGCCTGGCACACTTCTCCTCAGACCCTACAGACCTTGAACTTCACAGAATTTATGTTATTAGGAATAAAGGCCTCAGATGGTCATATTTGATTTTATATATGGGTATAATAGCTGACAGTTTCATTTTACTTTGTGTAAACTGATATGCTAAAGTCCAGCTAACACAATTGGCTCATTGACATTTGTGTGTCTTTTAGATACTCCCAGCCCCTGCATGAAGAAATAGCATTGCATAAGCATCTGAAGCACAAGAATATTGTCCAGTATCTGGGTTCTTTCAGTGAGAATGGTTTCATTAAAATCTTCATGGAGCAGGTTCCAGGAGGTAAGAGATGTTTTTTCCCTTTAAAATACAAATTTCTAGGGCCTTGAAGAGGAGTAAAACTGAGTGAGATTTATAGGTTGACAGGTCTTAATTGGTCTAAGTTAAAAGAGAAGTTAGCCACATTGCATTAACCTCCCATTTAATTAGAAAATGTAAGTATCTGAGATCATTTTAAGATCAATCATTGTGACTTAGATTAAGGTTAGCGATTGAGTGGCTTTTTACTACTTACTATTTGATAATGAGCATCTTCAAATAGTTAAGCTAACATTTATTGGTATTTACAATGGCGCAGGAACTGTACTGGACACTTGCCTCTTCATATATGAGCCTTCGTATCAGTACAGTTCCTGCACCACTGTAAATAACCAATAAATGTTAGCTTAACTTAATGTTAATTTATTAATGTACTTTAAGAACTCATTTGGATTAAGATTTTATCCGCTGTTTTCCCTACTTTACAGGAAGTCTTTCGGCTCTCCTTCGTTCAAAATGGGGCCCCTTGAAAGACAATGAGCAGACAATTGGATTTTATACGAAGCAAATACTGGAAGGATTAAAATACCTCCATGACAATCAGATAGTTCACCGGGATATAAAGGTAGGATGAACTAGGATTCATTTTTGTATATTCCTTGTTGGGTAGTTTTTTTATTTGCAAAAGCCACGTTATGTTATGGGTATTAACTTAGAATGGTGAATGAATAAATCTTAGAAATAGAAATAGAAGATATTTCTCTGTCCTGAATCAGTTATTGATAATCATACCTTATCCATGTAAAGAATAAACTCCTTAACCATGTTCAACCAACAAAGATAGAGCTTCCACTACGTGCCTGGCACTGTTCTGTGTGAGTTTTGGCACAGCAGAACAAAATGGAACAGGAGGATGGTCCCTGCTTCTGGGAGTTTAGAGGCTGGTTAATCTTTGTATCCTTGCCCATAGTATCTATTCAGTAAATATTTATTGAATCAATGAATAAATGATTAGAAGGAAAAAAGAGCCCTAACCGGTTTGGCTCAGTGGATAGAGCATTCAGGCCAGAGAACTGAAGAAGGGTTCTGGGTTTGACTCAGGTCAAGGGCATGTACCTTGGTTGTGGGCTCGATCCCCAATAGGGATTATGCAGGAGGCAGCTGATCAGTTTCTCTCTCATTGATATTTCTAACTCCCTATCTCTCTCCCTTCCTCTCTGTAAAAATCTTTAAAATGTATTTTTAAAAAAAGAAATCTTAGTTTCTCACAACCATCACATATTCATGGATTAAACGAATATTAGATAACTTAATAAATTAAAATGCAAATATTCAGAACTAAATTTCTGACAAAGGCTGGACTATGGAAAGTAAATTGATATTTCTACCCTAAAATCAACCCAAATGCCTTATTTATTTGTAATATTTCTTACTATTCTAGAAAAAAATTAGTAAAACAACATAGAAAAGAAAGTAAAGTACTGGGGAATTATGACTATCATAACTGAAATTATTATACATGTACCATGCATAGACAACCCCTGCTCTCTGTAAATTGTAGCAAGCTCTACCTAACCGTGATTGACCTTGTGACCCACGTGACAGTTGTGGACAACTGATAACATACAAACGATGTTATGATGTCAAGAATTCCTTGTTGAGATTAACTATTCATGAAGAATACAGAATTTGTGTCCTTGTTTGCCCTAAAGACACCTTTTCTTATTGGATTTTCGAGCCAACCATAGACAGGATTGGAAGAAATGTAATGTTTTTTACTAAAGGCCTCTGTTTTCTAGGGTGACAATGTGTTGATTAACACCTACAGTGGCGTTCTCAAGATCTCCGACTTCGGGACATCAAAGAGGCTTGCTGGCATAAACCCAAGCACTGAAACGTTTACTGGTATGTTTTTGCAATGATGATACAGATCTTATGTAATTAAAGAAATAATTGCTGCGTTTGAGCATAATGTACGAGATAAATGTAGTTGTTCCCACAAATATTAATGTTGATATCTTTTGATGATTACTGAAAAGTAATACACAGAATTTATCTGGCCCTTTTCTCATCTTGTATTTATATGACCTATTCAGTCTTCTTGCTTAATGCTCCTGAAGATTTTTTTCTTTTTAACTCTTCATTTGTTTTTCTTTTCATGTCATTCCTTCTCTCTGGTTTGGCCTATAATCAATATAACCCTGACAAGATTTTCAAAAACATTTTTCAACCTAACCTCTCTTTGATTCTTACTCATACCTGAATCACTTCCCATGTGGCCTATGAATCCCCTCTCTTCTAATCTGTTTTCTCCCTGTGATGCATTCTCCTGCTCACAACATAAATAACTGCGGGATTTCATTCCCTTTCAATCCCGAAAGAGGAAGTGACTCACCGACTCAGAAGCGGGGTGGGGAGAGAGCTTTCCTCCCAGGTTAGGCAATGCAACCACTGCGCAGCCTTTAGAGCAAAGTCCTGGGAGGGCAAGAGACACAGGGGCTTTCTAAAAAGGCAACAGTGGCCAAGAGGAAACCAAGGCTCAGAGAGATTCATGACCGCCCAGGTCTGAGGAGAAGATACCGGGAGGCATCTGAAACTCCAGCCCTGCTCTCCATTCCAAGTTCTTAGCACTCCATTCTGCTATTTCTCATGAAGTATTATTATTATGAGAGAAAGATTTAGAGAGAAAAAAGATAATGAATTAAGCAAAATGGCCAGATGTCCCCATTTCTTAGTTCTGTGAGGTGGGTGGTAGTATCTCCATTTTTCAGATGAGGAAATTGATTTTAAAAAAAAAGAAGGGGTTGAAACCGGTTTGGCTCAGTGGATAGAGGGTCGGCTTGGGGACTGAAGGGCCCCGGGTTCGATTCTGGTCAAGGGCATGTACCTTGGTTGCGGGCACATCCCCAGCAGGGGGTGTGCAAGAGGCAGCTGATCGATGACTCTCTCTCATCGATGTTTCTAACTCGCTATCTCTCTTCCTTCCTCTCTGTACAAAATCAATAAAATATATTTTTTTTTAAAAAAGGAGGGAGGACATCAAAGTCACAACAGTTTATAAATGATAAGGTCCAGATTTTTTTTTTTTTTTTAATCTACCCTGTGCTCTCTGCTTTGACCTTCTTGCTTCAGTCAGTATTTCTCTCCACCTTGCTGAAGTATCTATTCTGGAAGCCTGGAAGGGGAAAAAGAGAAATTCCACACCCTTTTTCCTCAGAACATCCCATCAGTGACACTTCTGGCCTAGTTTCCAACAATGAGAATTTTAGGGTAAAGAATTAAACACATCCAGAAAGCATTTTTTAAATAGCAAAATTGGTTCTAATTTATTTGTAACTTTACATGTCTTTATGTTTCTTTTCTCTTTCTGTCTCAGTTTGGCAAGAGGCATTTTAGGTGCTTCCAAGACTCAGTAACTTCTGAGAGGAAAATTCAGACACTATATTTGGGCAAGATGTTAATTTAATATCTCCTGATAATCTTGAAAACATTTTCTGTTCGTTCTCAAAGGAGTTATAGTAAAGTGGTCATCCAGGGCCCTGTGCTTGTACTTCTCTCAGTGGCCTCACGTGGTGACACGTATGATTCATGTGCTGAGTCTGTCTCCAGCACTGGTCAGGAGGGCTGGGCGTGCGGACTTGGATTCTCGGCCATAGGCCTCAGAACTAGCCACGTTCCTGGTGCTTAGTCAGCCTCTGATGAGCTGCGCTGAGACCTCGGTCCATTCACTGCCTGGTCATGTGATGAGAGGGAAGGCAGCAGCGGCCACCATCTATAGAGTGTATACCCAACTGTGCTAAGTGCTTTATATATGTTATTTCACTGAAATTCATATATCAGCCCTAATCCTTAGGTATCATTATCCCAGTTTAGGGTGAGAAAATGAAGGTTCAAAGAGGTTAAGTAGTTTGCCCAAGGTCACAAAGCTAGTCAGTCATAGAGCTATGCTTCAAATTAGACGTAACATGCCAAATGGAATTAACTTCTCCTCAGACCTGTTCCACCCACACTTTTCCCCATCACAGTTAATGGCCACTCCAAACTTAGAATTATCCGTGGTGCGTCTCTTTTCTCACACTCCAACCCAATCCATCAGAGAAACCTATTGGCTCTACCTTCAAAGTGTGTCCAAAATTGGAATAGTTCCTCACTGTCTCCACTACAGTGCATTTCTCACCTGCGTTACCTCAATAACCTCTTCTTCTTGCTTCCTCTCTCTTTTAAAAAAATATTTTTTATTGATTTTTTTTACAGAGAAGAAGGGAGAGGGATAGAGAGTTAGAAACATCAATAAGAGAGAAATATCGATCAGCTGCCTCCTGCCCACCCCCTACTGGGCATGTGCCTGCAACCAAGGTACATGCCCTTGACTGGAATAGAACCTGGGACCCTTCAGTCTGCAGGCTGACTCTCTATCCAAACGGAGCCAAACAGGTTAGAGCCCTGCTTCCTCTCTTGCCCGCTATGTCCATTCTCTACCCCAGCCATATCAGTCAGAGACCGCAGGGCTTGCTACTTCTTTCACAGCAAACAAACATCAAAGTCCTTACAGGGGTGGACAGTTTGGAATTCGTCGCCATTTAGACCTCATTTCCTACTCTTCCCCTCTTGCTCACTCTGTCCCAGAAACGTAGGCCTTCCTATTATACATTTCCTTCATTGTGCTGCAGGGCCTTAGCACATGCTTTTCCTTCTGCTACGACACTCTTCTCCCAGCCATCTGCCTGGCTAAGTCCCTCTCCTCCTGCATGGATGTCATCTCAGTGAGGCCCTCCCTATTTGCATGGCAGCCCTCCCTGGGCACATCTGCTACCCTTTCTTACTCTTGTTTTTGTTTCTTGTTTGTTTGCTTGTTTTGGGGAGTGTCATAATACATAACTTCCTAACATACTATACAGTTTACTTATTTATTATGTGGTAATTTATTCTCAGTCCCCCCACTACAAAAATGTCAGCTTCCCAAGCCCAGGGATTTCGGTCTGTTTACTCTGCAGCTATATTCTAAATGCCTTGAACAGTGCCCAGCCCACAGTAGTCCCTTAATATGGCACTGCTGGACATGTGAATGAATGGATACAGTGTGATGTCAAAATTTAAACTTGTTGCTACTATGCTGTAATGGTTCCCCAGACTGGCTTGCAGCTTCGTTATCCAGCTCTGTAAATCTCTTTATATAAAATATTACATGTCATGTATTTGTGGAGTGAAGGGAGCAGATGTGAACACATGACCAAACCTGTTTTTATTGCCACTTGCTCAATAAGGGATAATTAAATAC